GTGCGAGTTTAACCGGGTGCTACGTAGTACGAGAGAAAGGTATTTTTCTGAAATGATTGAAGGCTGCAGCAACAATCTGCGTGTTCTGTTCTCAACAGTTAATAGATTAACAAACCCCCCTGTTCAAATGCCATTAGAGCTTACTTCCAAACGTAAATGCAATGAGTTTGCTAATTTTTTCAATGACAAGGTTCAAGGCATCAAAAGCGCCATTGTCTCCAATCCACAGATAACCATCCAACAGCCAGAAAGGCTCTCTGAGCTAACTCACTTTGCACCTGTAAATGATAAAACTGTCCAAGAGATAATCTCCAGTTTGAGCTCCTCCACATGCAGCCTGGATGTACTACCCACTAGATTTCTGAAGTCTGTTCTGAGCAGTCTGTTACCTTCACTCACACAGATAGTAAACATGTCCCTTCATTCTGGAATATTCCCAAAGGCCCTGAAAACTGCAGTCATCAGGCCCCTGCTAAAAAAGAGCAGTCTGGATGCCACTGTACTTAACAACTATCGTCCCATCTCAAATCTGCCATTTATGGGGAAAGTCCTTGAGAAAGTTGTCTACCTACAGCTTACTAGATTTCTTATAATCAACAACTCATTTGATATGTTTCAGTCCGGCTTTAGACCCCACCACAGCACTGAGACTGCTCTCGTTAAGGTTACAAACGATATCCGGCTGAACACTGACGCAGGCAAAGTCTCAATCTTAATCTTGTTAGATCTAAGTGCTGCCTTTGACACCGTCGACCATGAGATCCTCTTACAGAGACTAGAGGACTGGGTTGGCGTCACTGGCACCGCCCTAAGTTGGTTTAGGCTTACCTTGAAGACAGGAAGTACTTTGTGGAGATTGGAAACTGTGTCTCAGATCATATGGCCCTGACCTGTGGAGTCCCACAGGGGTCGATCCTGGGACCTCTTCTGTTCAATCTCTACATGCTGCCGTTAGGTCAGTTAATACGCAGAAACAAAGTTTCCTATCATAACTATGCAGACGACACTCAGATCTATGTCTCACTGACTGCAGGAGAACATGGACCAGTGGACTCACTCCTTCACTGTATCCAACAGATCAGTGAGTGGATGCAAAACAACTTCCTTCAGCTAAACGCAGACAAAACTGAAATGATTGTCTTTGGTCCCCAGAAACAAAGAGAGAGCGTCATCTGTCACCTACAGTCTCTCTCCCTAAAACCTTCAAACAAGGTCAGAAATCTAGGGGTAATACTGGACTCAGACTTAAATTTTAATAGCCACATCAAATCAGTAACATCAGCAGCTTTTTACCATCTAAAAAACATTGCCAGGATCAAAAACATAGTGTCTAAAGCAGACCTGGAGATTCTTATCCATGCATTTGTCTCCAGTAGGTTAGACTACTGCAATGGCCTGCTCACAGGTCTGTCCAAACAGGCTGTAAAACAGCTGCAGTACATTCAAAATGCAGCAGCTCGAGTCCTGACAAGAACCAGGAAGTACGACCACATTAGTCCAGTCCTCAGGTCTCTGCACTGGCTTCCTGTGGCTCAGAGAATAGACTTTAAAACAGCTCTGCTTGTGTACAAGTCTCTCCATAGCCTCGCACCAAAATATATTAGTGACATGTTAGTCCCATATGAACCAGCCCGGACTCTGAGGAGCACAGGGACTGGACTCCTGTTAGTGCCCAGAGTCAGAACTAAACATGGGGAGGCTGCTTTTCAGATTAATGCTGCTAAAATCTGGAACAGTCTTCCTGAAGATGTGAGACAGGCCTCCTCTCTGACAATGTTTAAAACCAGGTTAAAGACGGTTCTGTTTAACTGTGCATACAACTGAGGGATTTTATATTTTTATCTTTCTTTTTAATGTTCTGTGATAATTTATGATTTTAATGCTTTCTTGTTTTGTTCAGCACTTTGAATTGCCTTGTGTATGAATTGTGCTATATAAATAAACTTGCCTTGCCTTGCCTTAACTAGTTGCGTCAATTGCGTTTTCCGCTATTTTCATGCTCCCAAATGTGTATTGTTTCTAATGTGCCTTAGACCATATTTTATCGAGCCAGCAGGTGGCAGCAGCGCTGCGTCCGGATGTTTTGAAAACAAGATGCACTTGTGCCTCTTTTTCTCAGCAGTTTGTCTGTGACTGGTGATTTCAGTAAAACTTCTCTGCTCAACTGGGGATTACAGGGGAACAAAACAAGCTGGAATTTGTTTTACTTTTGCTGATGAAAGTAGACGGTTTCAGTTTTTCATAGTACACAATAGGGGTGGGCGATATGGCCTAAAATTCATATTGCGGTATAATTTGGGACACAGACGGTAGACGGTATATATTGCGGTATAATTTGGTGTGAATTTCAATATAGGTCTAGCAGGTTCTTGCATAAAATAGTCAAGATTGTTACTTATTTATATATTAGAATCTAATATATATATTTTTTTAGTTATTCAGTGAGAATAAAGAGACAAATGTTGTAACATACATTATTTATGTATGTTACAGTAAATACCGTTCACTGTAAAAGCAATTTTTAAAAAGAAAAACATGTGCATTCATTTAGAATATAAAAAACTCACAAATGTTGAAATCAAAGTCTGTAGGAGTTAGACATGGTCATTATTTATAGTGTCTGAGAGTTTTGTGCAGGTACATGACTTCAGTAAAAGCTATTGTTCGTTTACAAAGCTGGTCTTGCCATTTGTTGACGCTCCCTAAGCGCTTTTCTCTGCGCTTGCAGTGAACTGGATGATTCAATGGATTTATGTTCATTAAAACAGCGCATTGGATTTGAACAATTGATGTAAATGATCATTTTGGCACAATAAATTTTGTTTAACAAAGTAGCTTTCGTGAGATATTGACCGCGGAGGTCCGAATCTGACGCTAACTTTCGCAAACTTCTGCTGTGATGCTGTGGACACGGCACACGCATGGATCTATTTTGGCTCACACTGGCGCTTCGAGCCTAGGCCCCTTTGACACTGATTGGCCAAAAGGTAGACGCTTAAACTGTGTGTGTATTTACCTCTGCTGGGGCCGCTGTGACAACAATACATAGACAGAAACACGGTGTTAATGCCGTGCTGTTGTTCGTTGTTTCCAGTGGTGTCTGCTAGGCTAATAGTGCTAGGCTAATGCTGCTGAATGCCGGTTTGTTTTGGTCCTTTCTGCTGGCGTCAGAGCCTGCGCAATTTGATGACATAATGACCTATCGCAATATGCCGGTATAACAAAAATCTCTACCGTGGGCCAAATTTATATCGCATACCGCTTATACCGTTTATATCGCCCAGCCCTAGTACACAATATTCTGTGGGCCTTGAAAAATCAATAAAAATCATCAGAAACTGCTGGCAATATGGGAGTACCTGTTCTGAAATAGGCTGGCATGCAATGAGTTAAAGGGAGAGTGTCTTTGAGGAGGATGTGACGACGGAAATCACTTCTGCTTGGCTCACAGCCATGAACTCGTCCAAGTCCACTGAGGAGTCTAGTTGGGACATTAATTTTTCAAATTCTTCATCTTTAGAGATTTCATGACACTTTGAAGCAACTGTGGACAGTTAACAAGTTTTATGAAAGATCTGATTTGTTTTGTTTCCTGTATCATGGATGACGTGAATTATTATGTAGCATGTTTGCTGCAATTATATCAATGTGTACAAAGTTACAGTACTATGTGTAAGAATGAACTGAAGACTGCAGACTGCAACTGTGGGGACTCGTAGCTGGGTGGGGTGTTTGGAAGTGGGTTTGGGATTGTATAGTGGTATGGATTGTCACATTTGTTTTGCATATGTTGCTTTTGGGGCCCCTTCTTTATAAGTTTGGTAAATAAAAGAATTGAATTGAATTGAATGTAATTCAACCTCTTACCAACCTCTTTAAGGAGCTTATTAAAAGGTAATGCTTCTGGTTGCATTTTTGTTAAAGTGGAGTAGTCTAAGGAGGGATACAAGTGAATGTTCCAATCTCCACCACTTAAAGGAATCAGCCACCGTTTTTACATACTGACATATGTTCTTACCTTACCAAGTATAGTAACACAGAAATGTAACATGTAGATTTTCTCAGCAGATAAAAAGGGGTACTATATTGTGAGGCGTAATAATACGAGGAGCGCTACGTCCGCGCACTAACTCCAATAGACTTCTCTCCCACTCACGCTGCTTCTATTAAAGACCTTATGACGGGTTTGATTTATTTAGAAATACAGTTTTAATACCATTTTATATTAGAAGAGAACTACTAAAGGTTTCAAAATCAGTTGTTGTTTTTTTTGTCTGATCCCCCCAAATCGAAATAACCCCATAGCAACGCCCTTAGAAACGAAAAAACTTCACAGCCCTTGGTGACGTCAGAACGGGTACGTTTCAACGCTGTAAGTTGTTTACAATTTGGTATTCGTTCTTTTTTCACGGATATTCAAGATGACAAGGCCGTGTACAGCGAGTCTTACATAAATACTAGAATGTAACATTTCATTGTCACTGAGATAGTCCAGTGGTTGTGTCGATGGACTGCTAATCCAGATACTTGGGTTCAAATCCCACCTCGGACACTTTTTCACACTCAAAACGGCAATTTATGTGTAGTGAACAATTGTCACCTGTAGAGTGCAGTATTGTGTTGGGCATCAGTGGAGAGAAGAGAGAAAAATCATTCCTGTGGCATAGATCCATGGTTTTCAATGCATGGGCGTAACCCGCTATGACGTCACACACAGGTTAGAGCATAGACAACTTAAATTCATGAAAAACACGTTCTTTTTATAAAATATAGGATTTTTTTTGCCGGAATCTCTTTCAAATTGACATTGTCATGCAATTTTGATATCCACTATTTTTTTTTTTAAAACCCGTCATAAGGTCTTTAACGGAAGTGAGCGGGAGAGAAGTCTTTCATTCTGCTAGCAGGTTAGCATTTACCATCTGTATAGTCTGTGTTTGCATTGTCCATCTGTATACACATTGGGGTTACAACCTCTTGATACATTCCCTCTGTTCCAGATTGAGGCGGGTCAATACTGCACCTTCGTCATCTCCACTGAAGGCTCAGTGCGTGCCTGTGGGAAGGGAAGTTACGGCCGCCTGGGCCTTGGCGACTCCAACAACCAGTCCACCCTGAAGAAACTGACGTTTGAGCCACACAGGGCCATCAAGAAGGTCTCCTCCTCCAAAGGGTCAGACGGACACACGCTGGCCTTCACTACCGAGGGAGAGGTCTTCAGCTGGGGGGACGGTGACTACGGGAAACTGGGACACGGAAACAGCTCCACGCAGAAGTACCCCAAATTGATTCAGGGGCCTCTCCAGGGGAAGGTACGGACCAGAAAGCGAGATCAGAGAGAGACCTCTGCCTTCGACACGGTGGACCATGGCATCTTATTTACTAGACTGCGGGATCTGTGGTCGGTGTGTCAGGCTCTCTGTGGTTTAGATATTACCTGACAGGTAGAACCTTTTGTGTGTCCTCTAACAACATTATGACAAAATTTGCAAATCTACAGTGGAGTGTACCCCAAGGCGAATTTCTTGGGCCTCTTTCGTTTTTGGTCTACATACTCCCCTTAGGCGAACTGATCCAGCAGTTCAGTGATGTCTCCTATCACCTGTATGCAGGCGATCAACAGTTGTACTGCTCTTTTAAGATCCATGAACCCAAAACACTGGTCTAATTGTCTGACCAAAATAAATTTATAACTTAGTAATAATAACCTACAGCTGAACTCTGGTAAAACGAAAACTCTATTCTAATCTCTTATTATCCAGCACCTAAGCAGCTCCATAAAAATAAGTCTTGAGAAACCTTGGAGTAACGTTTAATGAAGGGATGTCCCTTGAACGACATACCAAACAAATGATCAAAATCTGTAACTTCCATTTGCACAACATCTCCAAGCTCAGACATACGTGTTCTCAGGTCACAAGCTGGAGATGATTGTTCATCCTTTGTTTCCTTGCGACTGGACTATTCTAACAGCTTGCTTACATGTATTAGTAAAAAATATCTGGCTGGTTTGCCAGCTTTTGATCTGCACCCATAGGAGAACCCATATTACTCCAATCTTGAGGTCCTTACATTGGGTCCCTGTCACACATAGAATAAATTCTGGTGTTGCCATTGAGGGCTCTTCATGGTCAGGCGCCTGAATACATCAAGGGCCTGATCCAGCCTTATGCCTCCAACAGGAGCTTGAGGTCCTCCACTCAGAACCTGTTAATGGTCCCCTGTTCTTGTTTTGTAACCCGAGGAGACAGAACCTTCCAGGCTGTTGCTCCTCACCTTTGGAATGCGCATCCCCATTCTCTGCGCATGTTATAATCTGTTGATAATTTCAAGTCCCAACTAAAGTGTAACAGGTATGTACTGTACCATATATATTTAAGGTCGTTGTTAGGCTCCCAAAAATAACAATTGTAAACCGCTTTGAGACTCCGATGTGCAGTGAAAAGGTGGTATATAAATAAAGATTACTAGGCTAGATCTCAGAAGACTTGTGCGACTCGTAGAGAGAGAGGCAGAGGCTTGAGATCTGCGTTTAGGTAGCTAGCTTGTATTTACATTTATGGTGTATGGACAAGACAGACGTATAACATTTAATATAACAAGTGCTAAAAATGAATGGCCATTCAGTGCAAATATACAATTATAAATCTCCAGGTGTTATACAGTGTCAACAATAGATATCAACATTAGACAACAAAACCATTTCAACCGCACAGATTGAATAATTCAATTCATAGGGACACAAGCCTTTGATTTTCCCGCAACACGAGAGCACTGCTCAGTCCTGTCCTTTCGCACAGGTAGAGCAACAAAGTTCCTACGGCCCGAAAGCTTTGAGTATTATCCAGAGGAAGGATGTGGAAGGAAGGGAATGAAAACGATTTGATTTGTTGAAGGCCGTAGAGTAAAGTGCGACTAGTGCAAATCAAGTGTGAGGGGTGGCTACGAGCCTCCTACCATCCCGTACAGTGCAGGAGGTGGGGTCCTCGAGGGAATCTCCCGGTGAGTCGTATCTCTGGGCTAGAAGCCTTTTCCTTAGGTCGTTGTTAGGCTCCCAAAAATAACAATTGTAAACCGCTTTGAGACTCCGATGTGCCATTGTTCAAATGTGCCCTGTGTAAAAACAGCAGGACCATCTAAATCGGTTAATGTGTACACACTCATCTCGTATCTCGTTCATCCTAAATAAATAACACTTACTGTATTAAAAAAAAAATCTCTCAATAATGTATCAATATTGCACAATTCAATTCAAAAAGACTAGTCAATCAATGTATCAAAAAATACTAGATGCTATTAGCAATATACAGTGCCTTGCGAAAGTAGTCGGCCCCCTTGAACCTGTCAACATTTCGTCACATTTCAGGCTTCAAACATAAAGATATAAAAATTTAATTTTTTGTCAAGAATCAACAACAAGTGGGACACAATCGTGAAGTGGAACAAAATTTATTGGATAATTTAAACTTTTTTTACAAATAAAAAACTGAAGTGGGGCGTGCAATATTATTCGGCCCCCTTGCACTAATACTTTGTAGCGCCTCCTTTTGCTGCAATTGCAGCTGCAAGTCGCTTGGGTATGTCTCTATCAGTTTTGCACATCGAGAGACTGGAATTTTTTCCCATTCTTCCTTGAAAAACAGCTCGAGCTCAGTGAGGTTGGATGGAGAGCGTTTGTGAACAGCAGTCTTCAGCTCTTTCCACAGATTCTCGATTGGATTCAGGTCTGGACTTTGACTTGGCCATTCTAACACCTGGATACATCTATTTGTGAACCATTCCATTGTAGATTTGGCTTTATGTTTTGGATCATTGTCCTGTTGGAAGATAAATCTCCGTCCCAGTCTCAGGTCTTTTGCAGACTCCAACAGGTTTTCTTCCAGAATGGTCCTGTATTTGGCTCCATCCATCTTCCCATCAATTTTAGCCATCTTCCCTGTCCCTGCTGAAGAAAAGCAGGCCCAAACCATGATGCTGCCACCACCATGTTTGACAGTGGGGATGGTATGTTCAGGGTGATGAGCTGTGTTGCTTTTACGCCAAACATATCGTTTTGCATTGTGGCCAAAAAGTTCGATTTTGGTTTCATCTGACCAGAGCACCTTCTTCCACATGTTTGGTGTGTCTCCCAGGTGGCTTGTGGCAAACTTTAAACAAGACTTTTTATGGATGTCTTTGAGAAATGGCTTTCTTCTTGCCACTCTTCCATAAAGGCCAGATTGATCATGGCCCTCTTGGCTACATCTCTGATCAGTCTTCTTCTTGTTTGAGATGAAAGTTTGGAGGGACGGCCGGTCTTGGTAGATTTGCAGTGGTCTGATACTCCTTCCATTTCAATGTAATTGCTTGCACAGTGCTCCTTGAGATGTTTAAAGCTTGGGAAATCTTTTTGTATCCAAATCCGGCTTTAAACTTCTCCACAACAGTATCTCGGACCTGCCTGGTGTGTTCCTTAGTCTTCATGGTTCTCTCTGCGCTTTAAACAGAACCCTGAGACTATCAAAGAGCAGGTGCATTTATACGGAGACTTGATTACACACAGGTGCATTCTATTTATCATCATCAGTCATTAGGACAACATCAACAATCATTCAAAGATCCTCACTGAACTTCTGGAGTGAGTTTGCTGGGGCCGAATAATATTGCACACCCCACTTTTCAGTTTTTTATTTGTTAAAAAAGGATAAATTATCCAATACATTTCATTCCACTTCACGATTGTGTCCCACTTGTTGTTGATTCATGGCAAAAAATTTAAATTTTATATCTTTATGTTTGAAGCCTGAAATGTGGCGAAATGTTGAAAGGTTCGAGGGGGCCGAATACTTTCGCAAGGCACTGTAAATATACATTTCAACATGTATATAAAAACAAATACAGAAGCATAATACGGATAATTCAAAAGTACATATAGTTATTCCCAAAGTGAGTAACTTGAGTGAAACTGGCAGGTATTTAAGCAGACCATATTATTATAATGCTGAATAAAAAACGCCATGTGCATATATAATACTTCTAACAATCATTTGATAATAAACATAAGCATTGATCATCATAATTCATTCAGAGTAATACGTCATGGATACACGGAAAGCAATTGAATGAGGAGCGGCAAGCGCTAAATGCATTGAATTACCGACTCCACTTTCTACACACGCAAAGCTCAATCGGACAACGATCCGGCGCTGGTGATCGGCTCTACAGTGAAAACAAGCAAGTGGCATTTAATTTCTAGAGTCATACGGGAATTAATTACAAGAAAAATGCATGAAGACCTCAAGTGGAGGAGTTCAAGTATCTCGGGGTCTTGTTCACGAGTGAGGGAAGGATGGAGCGTAAGATTGACAGGCGGATCGGTGCATCGTGCGCAGTGATGCGGTCGCTGTATCGGACCGTTGTTGTAAAGAGGGAGCTGAGCTGAAAGGCAAAGCTCTCGCTTTACCGGTCAATCTTTGTTCTCTCCCTCACCTATGGTCATGAGCTTTGGGTAATGACCGAAAGAACAAGATCGCGGATACAAGCGGTCGAAATGAGCTTCCTCCGCAGAGTGGCTGGGCGCTCCCTTAGAGATAGGGTGAGGAGCTCAGTCACACGGGAGGAGCTCGGAGTAGAGCCGCTGCTACTCCACATCGAGAGGAACCAGTTGAGGTGGCTCGGGCATCCGGATGCCTTCTGGACGTCTCCCTGGGGAGGTGTTCCGGGCACGTCCCACCGGGAGGAGGCCCCGGGGAAGACCCAGGACACGCTGGAGGGACTATGTCTCTCAGCTGGCCTGGGAACGCCTTGGAGTCCTCCCGGACGAGCTGGAGGAAGTGTGTGTGGATAGGGAAGTCTGGGCGTCTCTGCTTAGACTGCTGCCCCCGCGACCCGGCAACGGATGAAGCGGAAGAAAATGGATGGATGGATGGATACATGAAGACACACCTCTGCAGCAACAAACACGGCTTCCCCTCGCGAATGCGCCGCTTCCAGGTGCACGCATATAAGCAACGCTAATTGGGTGGCTGCCATGACCACTCGATCAGCAGCCAAAGAGTATTAATGGCCCAAGAGCATATGCTAAGTCAAACAGGTGGGCTTTTGACACCCGTGTTAAAAAAGACCCTTTTGTTTTGGCAGGCTGTCTCACCTCACCATACATCGGCCTTTGTGAACTGTGTTCATGATGCTTCTGTATCTTAGTCAGTGATGGGAATAACGGCGTTACTTTTTTCAGTAACGAGTAATCTAACTAATTACTTTGACTGTAACTATAACGCCGTTATCATTTCCGACATCCCGTTACTGCGCGTTACTCAAGACGCACAATGAACTTCTCTTTTTACTTCGTGATGGGACTCCTACGCATGTTGTCATGAGAGAAGGGAGGATGAGAAAACCTCTCAGCAATTATTGGCTGATGTAAAAAATATTTCCTTTACAATCTACATGTCTACAGTTAAGAGGATGGCTCATAAATTGTTTTTTGAAACAAATATGGGTCTTAATCGCGCTCAACCACGGCTTGTATCACCGTGAGGCCAGCCTCAGGTGAGCGCATGTGAGCGCAGAAGTCGGCTGCATACAATTCCATCGATAAGCTCCTTTCTCCTCCTGGTTTATCTGCTAAGGGCAGCAACATGTTTGGCTAACATACATATAACACATTTTAAGATAATTTAAAATGCATTTAGGGTAATTTTTCAATGACTATAGGAATGATAAGAAAGAGAGGTGAAGTGTAAGAAACTTACAAGAAAGAAATTAAGAAATTGGATGCACCCGGCTCCAGCTAGCAAAACAGAGGAGTTTATGGAGGACACACGCGTTTTGTTTTACTTTTTAAAACTCATTGGACTCATTTCCAAATGGAGGATTACATATCTACGCTCAAACTATTATCTGGACTTAAACACGGAACTGGTCTGAACCGAAGTGGCCTGTGCAGGTCATTTATAAGGCAAGACCCATAACTCATAGTTTTGCGTTTTGTATGAACAAACAATGCGGGCATTAAACATATTTTGCTGGAGCCAAACAAATTGTCCAGTTGATTTATATGATATATATGTTCATCTGATTAGGCTGAAGTCAGTGCTTCACCGGTGTTTCCACATTCACAGTGGCGGGTGTTGGTGTTTAGTGCTTACAGCACAGAGAGAGATGAAGAGTGAACAGGACTTCAGCAGCAAAACAGTCTTTTCTAGATGGAAATATTGGCACTATTTCAGACTCACTGAGGTTAAAGATAAAAATGCACATGTCGAGTGCACATTATGTTCCAGAACAAAACAAAAAAGTAACGCAATAGTTACTTTTACTGGTAACTAGTTACTTTTATAGTGGAGCAACTCCGTTAGTAACTCAGTTACAAGTTACTTCTCCCAAAAAGTAACTTGTAACTATAACTAATTACTTTTTCAAAGTAACGTGCCCAACACTGATCTTAGTTTTGGAATCTGACTTGTATGTGTGTTGTTTTTCGCTGAATGTTTGTTATTGTGAAGTGCTTTGTGATCCTGTTGTGTGTAAGGCACTATACATATAACCTTTACTTATTTACTTACTTACCAGAGAGTCTAAAAGTCTCACCTTCACCAATCCACTCGCAACCAGCGCTAATATCAGGGTTCTGGTCCCTGAAAATCATACAATGGGTTACATGTTGTTATGACTAAGTTGCTTGACAGGATTTGCATGTTCTGCAGGTGGTGGTGTGTGTGTCTGCTGGATACAGACATAGTGCAGCTGTGAGTGAAGACGGAGAGCTCTACACATGGGGAGAGGGAGACTTTGGGAGACTAGGTCAGTGTCCTATTAGAGCTCTCCCTCACACTGTGGACTACTAACATCTTGTCCGTCTGTAGGTCACGGAGACAGCAACAGCCGCAACATTCCCACTCTAGTCAAAGACATCAGCAATGTGGGGGAGGTGTCGTGTGGGAGCTCTCACACCATTGCTCTGTCCAAAGACGGCCGGACAGTATGGTCCTTCGGGGGCGGAGATAATGGTACGTAACATGTGACATCACAATGATTCAAAGAGCCTATAGTTTCACCTTGTGATGGAGTGCAGCTGAGACATCTCTCCTAGTAACTATGGTTACTGTGATAAGTGTCAAAAGTCAGATTCTAGGTTGAGTTCACCGCTTATTTCTCTAATTCCTGGAGCATTCCATATGAATCTACATTATATTAAAACTGTCACTTTCTTATTTCTTTGTCAGGACATATCAACTATGGTGTCATTATTTTTTCTCTCTGGATTCTCCAGTGAGAAAAATCTCAGACCCTTCTCTGTGTGGAGTGAGGACAAATGTCCACAAAAAATGATATTAACCCCTTAAGCTCGCGGGACCGAGAACAGCAAACGAGAACAAAAGTACTTCTGCTGGCAATAGCAGATGTATTTCGAACTTCATAATCCACAAGCTATATATCATTTTAAAGCTTATTTTCTCAGCTATATTTATATTTAAGTGTAAACGATATCAGACTTTGCATTAAAAAGATATAACGCATAATATGGGCACAAAATAAATCGTGTTTGTGTAAGTTTCTTACCTTTTGTCTTCTACTGCTCCTACAAATTAGACTTTCCCCATCCTTGCTTAGTCTCTTTCTCTCCGTAAGTCTTCAGTGAAAAAGAATATCCACTTGTATTTCCCAAAGTATAATCCATTCTTCAGAAATAATCCAAAAATTTGCATTTTTCTGTTGCAAAAAAAAACGCTCCGAAAAATGTCCAGGCTTCTCTTTCACATTTCACGTGTTCCTTGAGTCCTTAGCTTCAAAAAGAGAGGTTCCATGAAAAGATAGGAGCAGTTTTCAGTCCGCAGGACCCTTGTGAAAAAGACTAACCGCATCCACTTGCACAGGGTCCTTTTTCCCTTGTTGTTGATTAGCATGGCTAGCGCAATGAGCTAGCACTGAATGATTGACGTGTCCAAGTAGCCAATAAAAAGAGCTTTCTATTGATGGGTAGGACTTGTAGGAACTCTTTTTGTTTTCACAGTAAAAGCGTGCGTAAAGACGCTGTTAGTACTGCTGCGCATATTTTATATGCATTTACACTACTAAAAAATTAATTTTGAAAAAATTTAAAAGAAAATCACACAGATTTGTAACTTATAAGTACTAAAACTAAAAAATATGCTTTTTATGATGGTGAAATGTTAGTAAAGCAGTTTGGCACAATTTGGCACACATTTTGCCAAATTCGTTCCGAATGGCACTACTTGATAAAAAAGAGAAACTGCATAAAAACTATAAAACTTAGAAGTCTGAAACTTTATACAGTTGTTGTCAACAACACAATGAACAAATTAGCGTTGAAAATTTTCTTCTTCCAATGAAGTAGGCTTTTTAGGGCATTTATACATTGATTTTTTTAGGCGAGGCTAAAAAAACCAGGTTTTTTTCCCAAACTTCAAAGGATGCAGAGTAAAATAGGAATGACATACATTATTTCAGTGTATATTTACATAAACTAGAAGGGCCTAGCTTTAAAATGATGCATCACACAAGCATGTGAGATGTAAGATGTGTTTTTAAATAAGCAAAGACATTTGGGTATGCCAAACTTTTGTGCACGAGCCAAAACAGATGTAGGAGGTTAAAGCACTTTGTGATAGGGTTTAATCCCTATCCGGGAAACGGGAAATTAAAGTTTTAAAATAATCCAGTGTGCTCCTATTATACTGTGCGTCTATTGTTGTACAAAGTTCAAACATATTTTCTTTACAATCAACATGTATACAGCTGAGAGGATGGCTCATAAATTGTGTTTTTGACAACAAATATGGGTCCTAATCGCGCTTAACCACGGCTTGTATGCATGTGAGCGCAGAATTTGGCTGTATCCAATTCCATCAGGAAGCTTCTTTTTTTTTTCATATAAGTGCAGCAACAGGTTTGGCTAACATAAAATGCATTTAGGGTAATGTTATGCTTCCAATGACTATATGAATGATAAGGAAGAGAGGCGACGGGTAAGAAGGTTGATTTTAGAATTTGGATGCACCCAAGATTCGGCTGCAGCTAGCGAAACACAGAGGAGTTTATGGAAGAGGCACCAGTTTTGTTTTACTTTTTAAAACTCATTGGACTTAAACTATTATCTGGACTTAAACATGAAACTGGTCTGAACTGTAGTGGTCTGTCACTAATTCATTAATGACTAAGGTAAGGTCCATAAAACACTTGGAAATGTGCTTTTTACAAACTTTTGCGTTTTTGCGTTTTGGGGTGAAGTCAGTGCCTCATCAACCTCACCGCACGTCACTGGTCGACAAGTGGATTGCGCAGACATTTAGAATCTCAGCATAGTGGAATTCCTGAAGTAAGCCCATCGACAAAACGTCTGAAAACGCTATATGGCTACTTTAGCAAAGCTAGCAAGTCGCTTGGTGAAACACTAGCGGAGATAGCAGCTTTTGATGGATTTACGTTTAATATTTTATATATGAGTGATATCATACATTACTTGGGCTAAAAACGACTACAAAAAACAGCTATTTCCCAGGATTCTTGGAAAATGCGTCGTCTTTTCAGGGGTTTGATACATCTAATTTTGGGGTAAATTTTAAACCTACTTTGTGACTCTGGTCTGTGAAAGGCGCTATATAAATAAAGATTACTTACTTAGTTACTTCCCTCTTTGGTCCCTCTCTTTGGTCTCTCTCTTTGGTCTCTCCTTCTGGTCTCTCCCTCTGGTCTCTCTCTCTGGTCTCTCTTGACAAAACAATTAAATCTTTGGTGTACAGGTTTTGAATAGGGACATAAATAACAACTCAATTATGAATATATAGTTAAAACCGGTCTTTCATTCTGTTTAGTACCCTGACAAATAGTTTTTTGCTGACCGAAATTCCTCTTGGTCCTCGTTTCCAGGAAAGCTGGGCCACGGCGACACAAACCGCATCTACAAGCCAAAACTTGTGGAAGCTTTACAGGGAATGTTCATCAGAAAAGTGTGTGCTGGGAGCCAGTCCTCTCTGGCCTTAACCTCCACAGGACAGGTACAGCTCCTCTCTCTCTTTTCTCCATGTTACAACACTGTCTCATATCAGTCACAGACCTGGAGTTGTGTTTAGATCCACCCACGCTGCTCTGCTCTACTCCTACTCAACTCTACTAGTGTCCTAGTCCTTGTCCTAGTCCTATTCCTTCTCCTACTCCTACGCCTTGTACTCCTACTCTACTCTTGTCTACTGTACTCTGAGCGAAAGTGGCAGCTGTACCATTGGGGTGCGACATATGAAAAACAAATTTGTATCCACGAGGGATGTGAACATTTTGGTCGATTTTGAAATCCGATATTATTTCTTCTGTTATGGTTGATGACCGATATTTATTTCTGAGATAATAAAAGTTTGTACATGCTGAATTGTACAGCCAGCTTTTAGTTTTTTTTATGGCTGTCAAAATTATCGCGTTAACGCACGTTAATTAATTTGTTTCATTAATCGCGTTAAAAAGATTAACGCATTTGACGCATGCCCATGCATCTCATAATAACACTCAGAATGCCGCGGACACATGCGTGTGTAAGATGGGGACAGAGCAGGTAGGCCCTCTGGGAATTCAAGTTTTGAAAGAATACACGCGTGACCGCGGGGCACTTGTTGTTTCCTGTATGAACTCTGCATGATGAGCTGCGGCCGCGACAGCGCTCTGGACAGCAGCTCCCACTTCCAGCGGCTGTGATCACGGCGAACGGCGCTGCGTAATGGGATCATATCCAAGACCACGCACAGAACTATTCTCTAGTGTGCGTACGTGTCTTTGCGTAACCGATGCACACAATATGTACAGCGCTGAAGCTGGACTGCGGAGCCTCAGTCTCCTCCGTGTCTTCTCCCAAAGCGCACTCGCTAAATTAAAGCTGAGGTACCTAATTTTCCCTTCCACTACCAGTTCATGTTGGTTGTGCCAAAAAAAGTAATGGTGTGAGCAAATCAAACAGATTTAATGACAATCTGCATTTCAGACTATTTTGAAATGTACCTCATCTGTAACAAACAATGGTTTTGGTCTGAGTCTAAACAGAAAGACAGAATGTTAATAATGTTAATTCCATTTTAAATGGATTTATTATTATAACAAACAAATACAGTACATATGTACACTAAGCAGTCATTTATCTTTCCATTCAAACAACCATTTACAAAAAAATATGGCAGAATTTTGCCAATAGTTTGAAATGTGATTAATTACGATTAATTTATAAGCTGTAATTAACTCGATTAAAAAAATTAATCGTTTGACAGCCCTAGTTTTTTTATAAGAACACTTTGGTTTGAGACGCCACATGTATTTTACAGTTCATTCTCCCTGTTGCCTCAGTTACTACAACTGTATACCACACAAAAATTCTGCATTATAAATGAAAGTCAGCGAAGTGAAGACTGAGACTGTCAGCTGTGTTTGTGGCAGATGCTATGCAGGCTGCTAATGCTAACGCTTACACATTTCTTCCGTTCCTTTCAAGGCATTTTCCTAAAAATGGACACCCGTTGACACGCCACAGGAAAAGAGCATTTTGACTCGGAATCAGTGAATATTTACAATAGGGAGATTTACTTCTTGACTTTCGCACAGCTGTCAGAAATCTAGGGGTAATACTGGACTCAGACTTAAATTTTAATAGCCACATCAAATCAGTAACATCAGCAGCTTTTTAACACCTAAAAAACATTGCCAGGATAGTGTCTATAGCCCCCATTTCTGTGTGGAATGAGAGGACAAATGCCCATAAAATAACAATTGTAATCCGCTTTGTGACTCTGGTCTGTGAAAGGCGGTATATAAATAAAGATTACTTACTTACTTAGAGCAGACTTTGACTCTTATCCCTGTATTTGTCTCCATTAGGCCTGCTCACTGGTCTCTCCAAACAGGCTGTAAAACAGCTGCAGTACATTCAAAATGCAGCAGCTCGAGTCCTGACTAGAACCAGGAAGTATGATTACATTAGTCCAGTCCTCAGTTTCTGCACTGGCTTCCTGTGGCTCATAGAACAGACTTTAAAACAGCTTTGCTCGTGTACTAGTCTCTCCATGGCCTCGCCCCAGCTAAACATGGGGAGGCTGCACTTCAGATGCATGCTGCTATAATCCAGAACAAACTTCCTGAAAATGTGAGACTGGTCTCCTCTCTAATAATGTTTAAATCCAGGTTAAAACAGTTCTGTTTAGCTGTGCATACAACTGAGGGATTTTATGTTTATCTTTTTAATGTACTGGGATTTTTTTTTAATGATTTTAATGCTATCTTGCCTTGTTCAGCACTTTGAGTTGCCTTTTGTATGATTTGTGCTATACAAATAAACTTGCCTTGCCAGCTGCCTGATGTCAGCTGCAACCCAGCAATACACATCGGTTGTGGTTATCGGCCCAATTTTACACATCTGTCCGATGCCGATAGGTTTAAAAATGATAAACATTGGCCGATATCGATACTTATACCGATATATCGTGCATCCCTAGTATCCACCACTTCCAGCGTACTCTATCAACACTTGAAGATTCAATTTAATTTATTTTTGTATATCCCTAAATCACAACAGCAGTCGTCTCAGAGGACAAAGTTGTCAATTCATCAACACAGATCAGTAAACCACACAAAAATGCAATAATAATAAAACAAACCAATGAACATCATTAGTGAACTACATTATTCATAAGCAAAGTTTTTCATGAGTTCATGAGTCCAAAGGCCCCCTGGACTAAAATGGACTCAGTCATGGTACAGAAGAGAGAGTGCCGTAGGGCCGAGCGGAAGTGGCGAAAATCCAATCTCCAGGTTGATCATGATATCTTCAAAAATGAGTTGTGCAAGTTTAACAGGGTGCTACGTAGAACAAGAGAAATTTATTTTTCTAAAACCATTGATGGCTGCAATAATAATCTACGACTTATGTTTTCAACAGTTAACGGATTAACAAACCCCCCTGTTCAGCTGCCATTCGAATTTGCTTCAGAATCTAAATGTAATGAGTTTGCACAATTTTTCAATGACAAGGTTCAGAGCATCAAAAACGCCATCACCTCCAAGGCAGAAATAACATTACAACAGCCGGTGAGGCTGTTTGAGCTATCGCACTTTGCACCAACAGATAATGAAACTGTCCAAGATGTTGTCTCTAGCCTTAGTTCCTCCACATGTAGCCTGGATGTACTACCCACTAAATTTTTTAAGTCTGTTTTGAGCAGTCTTTTACCTTTGCTCACACAAATAGTGAACATGTCTTTCTCATCTGGAACATTTCCAATGGCCCTGAAAACGGCAGTCATCAGACCCCTCCTAAAAAAGAGGAGTCTAGATGCCACAGTTCTTAAGAATTATCGCCCCATTTCAAATCTGCCGTTTATGGGAAAAATTCTGGAAAAAGTTGCTTACCAACAACTTACAGAATTCTTAGTAACTAATAGTTCGTTTGATGCGCTCCAGTCCGGCTTTAGAGCCAATCACAGCACTGAGACTGCACTAGTGAAGGTTACAAATGACATCCGACTTAACACCGACACAGGAAAAGTCACAGTTTTAGTAATGTTGGATCTGAGTGCTGCGTTCGACACAGTCGACCACGAGATCCTCCTGCAGAGACTAGAGCACTGGGTGGGTGTCACTGGGACTGCCCTAAGTTGGTTTAGGTCTTACCTAGAAGACAGGAAATACTTGGTTCAGATAGGAAACTGTGTCTCAGATCATATGGCTCTGACCTGCGGAGTGCCACAGGGATCAATTCTGGGGCCTCTTCTGTTCAATATTTACATGCTGCCGTTAGGTCAGTTAATACGCTCCAACAATGTATCCTACCACAATTACGCTGATGACACTCAAATTTATGTCTCACTTACTGCAGGAGAACATGGACCAGTGGAATCACTCCTTCACTGTACTCAACAGATTAGTGATTGGATGCAAAATAACTTCCTTCAGCTAAACGCAGACAAAACAGAATTGATTGTCTTTGGTCCTCAGAAACAAAGAGAGAGCGTTATTCGTCACCTCCAGTCTCTCTCCCTGGAACCTGTAGGCAAGGTCAGAAACCTAGGAGTTATAATGGACTCAGACTTAAATTTTAACAGTCATATCAAATCAGTAACATCAGCAGCATTTTACCATCTGAAAAACATTGCCAAAATTAGAAACATAGTGTCTAAATCAGATCTGGAGATTCTCATCCATGCATTTGTCTCCAGTAGGTTAGACTACTGCAATGGCCTGCTCACAGGTCTCTCCAAACAGGCTGTAAAACAACTGCAGTATGTCCAAAATGCTGCAGCTCGAGTCCTGACCAGGACCAGGAAATATGACCACATTAGTCCAGTTCTCAGGTCTCTGCACTGGCTTCCTGTGGCTCAGAGAATAGACTTCAAAGCAGCACTGCTTGTGTACAAGTCTCTCCATGGCCTCGCACCAGGGTACAAATGCCAGCCTATTTCAGAACAGGTACTCCCACAGTGCCAGCCATTTCTGATGATTTTTACTGATTTTTCAAGACCCACAGAATATTGTGTACTATGACTATCTGAAATCCGACACCAGATTCTAAAAGAATGGACTGTCTACTTTCATCAGCAAAAAGAATTTTGTTTATAGCTTTTTTCGTTCCCCTGTAATCCTCCGTCGAGTAGAGGGAAGTTTTACTGAAATCACCAGAAATCACCAGAAAGTTGAGAAAAAAGAGGCACAACATGTGCACCTACATGTTTTCAAACCATTCAGAGAGCAATGCTGCCACCTGCTGGCTCGATAAAATATGGTCTCAAGTCATCCCCATACATATTAGATACAATAGACATCTGGGAACGTGAAAATAGCGAAAAAGGCAATTGACGGATTAATACGTCAATGGCACACGACGTTACTATTTGCTTTGACGCATTTGTGCGTCAATGGGACACAATGAGTTAAGCGACTTGTTAGTCCCATATGAACCGACCCGGACTCTGAGGAGCACAGGAGGTAGCCTCTTACTGGTTCCAAGAGTCAGAACTAAACATGGGGAGGCAGCGTTTGAGATTTATGGAGCTAAAATCTGGAACAATCTTCCTGAAGATGTGAGGCTAGCATCTACTCTGGCAATTTTTAAATCGGGGCTAAAAACTGTTCTTTTTAGCTGTGCATACGGCTGAAGGATTCTATTGATACATACTCTTTTTTTTTTAATGCATTGTGGTTATTTATTATTTTAATCCCGTTTGTGCTTTTAATATTTTAAGTTTTTTTTTTTTTTTTTTTTTTTTTTTCCATTATTTGTGATTTTATTCTGTTTTTAATGTATTTATTGATGTCTCTGATTTGTGTGATACTATGTGGGTTGTGAGGCGCTTTGAGTGGCCTTGTGTTGGAAAGGCGCCATACAAATAAAGTTGATTGATTGATTGATTGATTGATAAGTTCTTTATAAGATGTCTGGAGTTTGGATGTACAACATTTGTGCTGAGGCCCGTTGGCCCTTGGTCTGTTTCAGGTGTACACTTGGGGCTGTGGGGCCTGTCTGGGCTGTGGGTCCTCTGAGGCCACAGCTCTGAGGCCTAAACTTATCGAGGAGTTGGCTACAACACGCGTGGTGGATATTTCCATTGGAGACAGTCACTGCCTCGCTCTCTCACATGGTATGCACTGCTGTCATCATCACTCACACATCTATTTACCACCAGTCAGGTTTGACAGTATGGGCAGCATCAAACAGGCAGCGTTGCATGATGACCCACTTTTCAAAGACCCTATAATTTCACATATAAATTACAACGAACACAAAAGAGAGACCAGAGAGAGAAAGAGAGAGACCAGAGAATAGGAAGAGAGAGACACCTGAGAGAGACCAGGAAGAGAGTGAGACACCAGAGAGAGAGAGAGGGAGAGACCAGAGAGAGACCAGATAGAGAGAGACCAGAGAGATAGACCAGAGAGAGAGAGTCCAGAGAATGTATTTGCAAATGATGGTGAAAAATAAGTATTTGGTCACCTACAAAGAAGCAAGACTTCTGGCTCTAAAAGACCTGTAACTCCTTCTTTAAGAGACTCCTCTGTCTTCCACTCGTACCTGTGTTAATGGCTGTTTGAACTTTTTATCAGTATGAAAGACACCTGTCCACAACCTCAACCAGTCACACTCCAAACTCCACTTTGGCTAGTAAGACCAAAGAGCTGTCAAAGGACACCGGAAACAAAATTGTAGACCTGCACCAGGCTGGGAAGAGTGAATCTGCAATAGGTTAGCAGCTTGGTGTGAAGAAATCAACTGTGGGAGCAATTAGTAAGAAAATGGAAGACATACAAGACCACGAATAGTCTCCCTTGATCTGGGGCTCCACGTAATATCTCACCCCGTTGGGTCAAAATGGTCAAGAATGGTGAGCAGGGACCTGGTGAATGACCTACAGAGAGCTGGGACCAAAGTAAGAAAGGCTACCATCAGTAACACACTACACCACCAGAGACTCAAATCCTGCAGTGTCAGACATGTCCCCCTGCTTAAGCCAGTACATGTCCAGGCCTGTGTGAAGTTTGCTAGAGAGTATTTGGATGATCCAGAGGAGGATTTGGAGAATGTCACACAGTGAACCATGGGGGTGGAAACATCATGCTTTGGGGTTGTTTTTCTGCAAAGGGACCAGGACAAGATGAAACGTGGCTGGATCTTTCAGCATGACAATGATCCCAAACACGCCGCCCGGGCAACGAAGGAGTGGCATTGTAAGAAGCCCCTCCAGACCTTGAAGGTCCTGGAAGTGGCCTAGCCAGTCTCCAGATCTCAACACCATAGAAAAGCTTTGGAAGGAGTTGAAAGTCTGTGTTGCCCAGCGACAGCCTCAAAACATCACTGCTCTAGAGGAGACCTGAATGGAGGAATGGGCCAAAATACAAGCAACAGTGTGTGAAAACCTTGTGAAGACTTACAGAAAACGTTTGAGCTCTGGCATTGCCAACAAAGGGTATACAGTGCCTTGCGAAAGTATTCGGCCCCTTTGAACCTTTCAACATTTCGCCACATTTCAGGCTTCAAACATAAAATTTAAATTTTTTGTCATGAATCAACAACAAGTGGGACATAATCGTGAAGTGGAACGAAATTTATTGGATAATTTAAACTTTTTTAACAAATAAAAAACTGAATAGTGAGGCGTGCAATATTATTCGGCCCCTTTACTTTCAGTGCAGCAAACTCACTCCAGAAGTTCAGTGAGGATCTTTGAATGATCCAATGTTGTCCTAAATGACTGATGATGATAAATAGAATGCACCTGTGTGTAATCAAGTCTCCGTATAAATGCACCTGCTCTTTGATAGTCTCAGGGTTCTGTTTAAAGCACAGAGAGAACCATGAAGACAAAGGAACACACCAGGCAGGTCTGAGATACTGTTGTGGAGAAGTTTAAAGCCGGATTTGGATACAAAAAGATTTCCCAAGCTTTAAACATCTCAAGGAGCACTGTGCAAGCAATTATATTGAAATGGAAGGAGTATATGACCACTGCAAATCTACCAAGACCCGGCCGTTCCTCCAAACTTTCATCTCAAACAAGGAGAAGACTGATCAGAGATGCAGCCAAGAGGCCCATGATCGCTCTGGATGAACTGCAGATAACTACAGCTGAGTTAGGGATGGTGTGTTCAGGGTGATGAGCTGTGTTGCTTTTATGCCAAACATATCGTTTTGCATTGTGGCCAAAAAGTTTGATTTTGGTTTCATCTGACCAGAGCACCTTCTTCCACATGTTTGGTGTGTCTCCCAGGTGGCTTGTGGCAAACTTTAAACGAGACTTTTTATGGATATCTTTGAGAAATGGCTTTCTTCTTGCCACACTTCCATAAAGGCCAGATTTGTGCTGTGCACGACTTATTGTTGTCCTATGGACAGACTCTCCCACCTCAGCTGTAGTTATCTGCAGTTCATCCAGAGTGATCATGGGCCTCTTGGCTGCATCTCTGATCAGTCTTCTCCTTGTTTGAGATGAAAGTTTGGAGGGATGGCCGGGTCTTGGTAGATTTGCAGTGGTCTGATACTCCTTCCATTTCAATATAATTGCTTGCACAGTGCACCTTGAGATGTTTAAAGCTTGGGAAATCTTTTTGTATCCAAATCCGGCTTTAAACTTCTCCACAACAGTATCTCGGACCTGCCTGGTGTGTTCCTTTGTCTTCATGGTTCTCTCTGCGCTTTAAACAGAACCCTGAGACTATCAAAGAGCAGGTGCATTTATACGGAGACTTGATTACACACAGGTGCATTCTATTTATCATCATCAGTCATTTAGGACAACATTGGATCATTCAAAGATCCTCACTGAACTTCTGGACTGAGTTTGCTGCACTGAAAGTAAAGGGGCCGAATAATATTGCACGCCCCACTTTTCAGTTTTTTATTTGTTAAAAAAGTTTAAATTATCCAATAAATTTCGTTCCACTTCACGATTGTGTCCCACTTGTTGTTGATTCATGACAAAAAATTAAAATTGTATATCTTTATGTTTGAAGCCTGAAATGTGGCAAAATGTTGAAAGGTTTAAGGGGGCCGATTACTTTCGCAAGGCACTGTATAACAAAGTATTGAGATGGACTTTTGTGATTGACCAAATACTTATTTTCCACCATGAATTGTAAATACATTCTTTAAAAATCAGATGTGATTTTCAGGATTTTTTTTCTCATTCTGTCTTTTATAGTTGAGGTATACCTATGATGGAAGTTACAGGCCTCCCTCAACTTTTTAAGTTGGAAAACTTGCACAATTGGTGGCTGACTAAATTAAAAAAAAATTGCCCCACTGTATATGTCCCTAGATAACAGGTCACATTTACACATATATTTGTCCACAGATAACAGGTCTCCCAGGAGGAAGATTTGCGTGAATTGCTTGTACTGTTTTGTTCCAGATAACGAGGTGTATGCATGGGGTAATAACTCCATGGGTCAGTGTGGTCAGGGGAATTCCACTGGACCCATCACCAAACCAAAGAAGGTTGTGGGTCTTGACGGAGTGGCCATCCAGCAGATTTCAGCTGGGACGTCTCATAGCCTGGCATGGACAGCACTCCCCAGAGACAGGTCTGAGACTGCACAAATGCATGGACAATACAGGAGAGAGGGGCAGAGAGTGAGAGAGAGAGAGAGCAGAGAGTGCACGGAGTGAAAGAGGGCAGAGAGTGAGAGACAGAAGAGAATGTCCTGGCATCAGGTTTAACAGCAGATATGTGATGGTTACAGGCAGGTGGTGGCCTGGCATCGTCCTTACTGTGTGGACCTTGAGGAGAGCACCTTCTCACATCTGAGATCCTTTCTGGAGCGCTACTGCGAAGGCATCAACAGTGATGTTCCCCCAGTGCCCTTCCCCTCCTCAAGGTGACTTAGCATGACCCTGACCCACTTCTATTACACTAAACCTGTGTGCTTGTGTGCGTGCGTGCATGCGTGTGTGAAATAAATAATCCTGAAGAGAACCTGGTTAATGACAATGTTCCAGTTGATCACTGTTTTACTTATTGCTAACCTTTAATCGTGTCAGAGTGAGTACCAGAGTGTTTTGCTTGCAGGGAGCATCACAACTTCCTGAAGCTGTGTCTGCGGCTCCTGTCCAATCACCTTGCTCTGGCGTTGGCTGGGGGCGTAGCCACCAGTATCTTGGGGCGTCAGGCCAGACCTCTCCGGAATCTCCTCTTCAGACTCATGGATTCTTCTGTGCCCGACGATATTCAGGAGGTACAGGCCAACCAGAAGGCCTGCTCATTAATTTGGTCATTCAGTTAGACATAATTTCCAATGTTTTTCTCAGACTTACTTTCTTTCACATTTATCATTTTTTTTTTATCCAAAAGGGCCAGGTCAAACAGATTTCAACCTACTGACCTTAGATCACTTAGGAAAGGACACACATATCAAATGATGACTTAATTTAATATTAAGAGTTATAATGTACAGTCCTTATACAGCTAGTTTCTGGACTCTCGCTTCATGGCCTTTGTCGGTCACTCCGTACACGGTTGTGATAAACTACTACTGTAGCCACAACTGACCTGGGACACACTAACATACAGGGCCTTGCGAAAGTATTCGGCCCCCTTGAACCTTTCAACATTTCGCCACATTTCAGGCTTCAAACATAAAGATATAAAAAAAATATTTTTCGTCAAGAATCAACAACAACTGGGACACAATCGTGAAGTGGAACGAAATTTATTGGATAATTTAAACTTTTTTAACAAATAAAAAAACTGAAAAGTGGGGCGTGCAATATTATTCGGCCCCCTTGCGCTAATACTTTGTAGCGCCTCCTTTTGCTGCAATTACAGCTGCAAGTTGCGTGGGGTATGTCTCTATCAGTTTTGCACATCGAGAGACTGGAATTCTTGCCCATTCTTCCTTGCAAAACAGCTCGAGCTCAGTGAGGTGTTTGTGAACAGCAGTCTTCAGCTCTTTCCACAGATTCTTGATTTGATTCAGGTCTGGACTTTGACTTGGCCATTCTAACACCTGGATACGTCTATTTGTGAACCATTCCATTGTAGATTTGGCTTTATGTTTTGGATCATTGTCCTGTTGGAAGATAAATCTCCGTCCCAGTCTCAGGTCTTTTGCAGACTCCAACAGGTTTTCTTCCAGAATGGTCCTGTATTTGGCTCCATCCATCTTCCCATCAATTTTAGCCATCTTCCCTGTCCCTGCTGAAGAAAAGCAGGCCCAAACCATGATGCTGCCACCTTTCTATCTTTGAGAAATAGCTTTCTTCTTGCCACTCTTCCATAAAGGCCAGATTTGTGCAGTGCACGACTGATTGTTGTCCTATGGACAGACTCTCCCACCTCAGCTGTAGTTATCTGCAGTTCATCCAGAGTGATCATGGGCCTCTTGTCTATATCTCTGATCAGTCTTCTCCTTGTTTGATATAATATAATTGCTTGCACACACAGTGCTCCTTGAGATGTTTAAAGCTTGGGAAATCTTTTTGTATCCAAATCCGGCTTTAAACTTCTCCACAACTGTATCTCGGACCTGCCTGGTGTGTTCCTTTGTCTTCATGGTTCTCTCTGCGCTTTAAACAGAACCCTGAGACTATCAAAGAGCAGGTGCATTTATACGGAGACTTGATTACACACAGGTGCATTCTATTTATCATCATCAGTCATTTAGGACAACATTGGATCATTCAAAGATCCTCACTGAACTTCTGGAGTGAGTTTGCTGCACTGAAAGTAAAGGGGCCGAATAATATCGCACGCCCCACTTTTCAGTTTTTTATTTGTTAAAAAAGTTTAAATTATCCAATACATTTCGTTCCACTTCACGATTGTGTCCCACTTGTTGTTGATTCATGACAAAAAATTAAAATTGTATATCTTTATGTTTGAAGCCTGAAATGTGGCGAAATGTTGAAAGGTTCAAGGGGGTCGAATACTTTCGCAAGGCACTGTACACAAGGCAACCAGTATTGGCCATTGGCCCCTTCCACCACCAACCATTCACACACAAAAACATTCTAGGCAATGTGGGGGAAATGCCTGGGACAACGTATGGCACTTTACAGCTGCAGTTGCCCCACACTGTAAGAAATGAAATGTTGACTTTACTTAACTTTTTTATGGCAACCGGTTCCATTGTTTAAATTGGAAATGCAAATCACAATTAATTTGAACACCAGATGTTAGATAAAGTACACTCTAAAAAAAAATGCATTGGCAAAACTTAATAAAATTGAGGCAGCATTTTGCATGCATCTTTTTAAGTTTTGCGAACAAGACTGTGTTTTTAAGTATTCTTTGTAAGTCTTTTATCATTGGTCCAGCACAATTTTTTCAATACCACCAACTTGGATAATTGAGTTATAAAGACACTTTGTTAAGTATATTCAGCAAGTGTTTTAGCATCAGTTCAACTTAATTTTAACAATACTACCAACTTAAATAATTACATTGAAAATAAATCTTTTTGAGTATATTCAACAAGTGATTTTCAGTCAGGAATATGTAATCTTTACTCAAATACCATCTTTCAAAGATTAGATTCACAAAACGGTTCACAATTGTTAATTTCAGGCAGTAGTCTCTCACTCCACATATATATGAGAGTGGGCCAGCACAGTCACTGGTAAACATGTCCACCTTAAAGTATCTGTTCAAAATTGAAGGGTGACACAGGGAGTATAGGACTGCTTTGGCTTGGCCCTCTCGATCATGGTTGATAAAAATAAATACAATTACTTATTTGGTCAAATTAGTTTATTCAGAATGTTGCTCAAGTATTTTGCTTTAGGACTTGCTTCATATTCAGTTTTAAAATTAATGTTCAAATGTAGAATTTTTAAGAAGTTTATATTTTTCGCTGCAATGCATTCTGGGTAGCGTCACTGCTTCGCCACATTTTGTTTTCAATCAACACAATATATTTATTTTGAATCAACTCAATATATTTATTTTGAATCAACTCAATATATTTGTTTTTTCATTAATGGGCCACCAGGCTTACAAGAGGATTTTCATGTTGAGCAAACTCAATACTTCTCCGTTGTCCAGTTATGCCAGAATATCAAGTTCAAATTTGTTACAAAAATGAGTTAGGATTCTTGTATTAACTTTTAATTGAGACCGACATGTTTAAAATGAGTTGCGACCACACTAATTTAAGTAAAACTGGCAAAAATCAATTATTGAGTTTAGTTTAGTATGTATTTTGAGTTCAAAATACTAACCACCTGAATCATTTCTTTGAGTGTATACTCAACATTCTCACTTTACAGTAACATGACAGTGTTAGATTGTATAAGCCCAACAACATTATGTTGGATTTACTAATCTCACATTGGTTCAACCAAACACGGTTAAGTTTGATCAACTTAACAGAAATTAATTATATTTATGTAGTGGGCTTGTGTTGATTCAACAAAACTAAACTAGTAATGGCTACATTGTTAAGTTAAATAAATACAACATAAAGTGCTTATTTATATTCAAGCTTTTATTTAAACAGGTAATTTCTCTCCACCCATTTAACACATGTACCAACTCAAACATTTTAAATAAAAAAATATACAATTAATTAAAAATGTAAAGTGCATAAATGATCCCATATTTAAATTAAAGTAACTTTTCGTGAAACACTTGAATGTAAATACACATTGCAGAGCACTAGGAACTGCCTATTAAATGCCTTAAATAATAACAGTGGTTGTGTGTAGTTAATGTTTTCACTCTGAAAATTGGCTAAAGACTGCCAACAGAATTTCTAAACCCTAACAGCTACCCACCAAATGTATGTAGACCTAAACATTTGCTTTTAACTTTTACATTTGGGACTAAACTTTGAAATTAACAGCTACTTCCAAATTCTCGTCTGGAGTAAGAAGCAATGCAAAAACATGCAGTGAGTGAGTGAGCAAGTGAGTGTCGGTCCGTTTGAGTCTGTTCGTCTGTGTCTCCATCCGTCTATCTGCGTCCCTGTCTGTCCGTCTGTGTCCCGGTCCCTCTTTCAGTCTGTCTCCATCAGTCTGTCCGTCTCCATTAGTCTGTGTCCCCGTCTGTCCGTCTCCATCAGTCTGTGTCCCTGTCCGTCCGTCTCCATCATGTGTCCCTGGCCCTCTGTCTCCACTCTGTGTACCTGTCCGTCTGTGTGTCTAGGTCCATCCATCTGTGTATACTTTTTTCAAAAGAGTACATTTAAGCTAGTCTCAAGAGCACAGCACAACACACATAGTACAGGATGTATATCGAAGAGTCTTTTCAGCCTACAACGTCCATTTCTTCTCTGTTGCATGTACGGTGTGATATCCACTGATGAAACATAGTCCAAACACATTTTGAAACAGTTAAGTCTTGATTAGATATGTTCGTGCAGTTTGTTTTTCAGAATTTGAACTTTGTTGGAGAGCTTTCTTCTGTCCACTTCCATTAATACCTTTGGAATAAATTCAAAAGTACATCCGAGTCCCTTTCGAGAGTTCATGTCCAGACAGTAGATTAATCCAAGAAGGAGCGCCCATCCAGTTGGAATGTGTTTTAGGTCTTGAAGAACTGCAATGCCATCGATGATTATTCCAAAGTCCTCCAATGAGTCTGATGCATCGGCATGTTGATGTTCCACGATGTAGACACCCAGCACTACTTTCTCAAACTCCTTCTCTGCTCCAACATCGGCATCCTTAAAAGAAAAGAATGGCAGATAGAAAGCTTCAATTTACAATTTAATATTTTCCCATATTGAAATCAAACCCTATAAATCAAGCACAAGGTGTGAGATGGTGACATTTTAATCAAAAATAACGCACACTGCTACAGTAGTTGCATGCTACAACCATTGTACATACGCTCTGACTACCATGCCAAAAAGCATCGCTCTTTTGCACAGCAGTCAACTGCTAAATCTTGTGCAACGGTGAGTGGGTTAAAGTGCGACTAAACACCTGTGCCCAGCCTGACTCCGACCACATGAACATTTGAAAATTCTCTGTAAAAAGGGCATTGCCCGCAGGACCAGGGGACAGGAAGGGGGCTTAGATTTGGGTGTGGTCTGGGCTGTGATTGACTGCTTGCTTGTCAGCTGTCAATTCTGGATTAAAGCAAAAGTTCCATACCAGAAATTCTCATTCCATCCTTGTTTACACACTAAAGATTATTGTTTAGCTAGACCAGGACCAGGACATAAAGAGCACTATAAAAAGAAACATTCATGCAGTTTATGAGTTTAAAAAAAGTTGTTTTGGTGTTTAGTTTTCCTTTAAAAGTTAGACTAGCAATTGTGTTTCATTATCATTTAAGGTAAATTATCCATAATAAAGTAGATATTTATCTTTATGTGAATTTTGGTCTTAGCATTATTGGCTCTATGCACATAGTGAACATTTTAAAGTATGAATACTAGGTATGAGTAATAAGTATGAATGTTAAAATATCAATAGTACTTCATCCCTACAAGCCTGTTTAGTGAATTCTCACTCATAAGGGGTCTTTATTAGAACATTTGTCACCATTGTTTATATCGATTATACAATGTATAGGCATTGGAGGCTGGGCAAGGTAGGCCTATGAGTTGCGCCGTAGCATTTTTCTTCAGTGTCTACATTACAAATCAGTTTGTTTTGTTGGTGGTGACAAATCTGGCCTGTTTATATAACTATTGCTATAGCCCATTGCTCCCTCTGGAAAATGAGCAGGAGACAAGTCCAACTGAGTGCGTTGTTCTGGGCTGTCCCCAGGTCTTTACCATCCAATTTCTGCATTACTGCGCATACTGAAATGTTTTTCTTTGTGGCAGAGGTTTATTATTGTTTTTACTGTACTCTTATCATTACATCTAGTTCTGCATACAGCAAATAAAAAAATGCAACCTCTCTACCTAAAAGTTAATTTTACACAGCCCAGGTTTTAGTTTAACAAATTGGTTTGAAATAGCCATGCAACTTTCTTCATCTATTTAGACTTGGAGATATTTGCGTGACAACATGATTTGAATGCATTTATAGATATCAGCAATGTCAAAGGTGTGCTGAAATAAGTGATAACTCACCATGTAGGTCTTAACCAGGTCCTCGGGGGCTTCATTCAAGTACACGCACAGAGCCTTTAGGATGCAGAGTAGTCTTATTTCAATGTTGGGTTTCTGTGAAAGACCAATTAAGTGTTCTCGTTATACAGTAATATTTGTGTTACATTTTCAAAAAATATATTGAGAAAAGTCAGAATGTTGGGTTAAAGCTGCACTAACTGACTTTGGGATTTTGAAGCCGCGGACTCACTGGCCTCGCTCTTTCTGCTCCCCTCCCCTCACTCACGAAGCTATCGCCCCCCAAACACATTCACTGTTGTCGACGGAGCTAGCATCTCCCAATATGGATAATACATGGACATGGATTTGCACGTGGATGGCGTGACCATAGAACGATAGAACCGGGAAGCGCAGAGGAACGAGACTTTCTTTTGGATGGCTGTGTAAGCAGTAACCGGTGACGAGGACGAAGTCTCAGATTAGCTCCGCCGCTTGTTGTGCTAACTCAGCCGTCTATGCTAACGGACCTGTAGATTTCTCACGAAAGTGGGGGCCAGTGGTGCGCTGTGATTGGTCACAATCTGCGACCCGAAACACATTCTCTTCCTTGCTTCATCAAAACTCGATCTAAAATATGTCACGCCAGCACAAATCTGCGCTACTTTTTCTTCAAAAGGACGTATATCCCAATGCACCACATGGACATGGATAGCATTTTCGTAATGAATACAAAAATAAAGCCAGTTAGTGCAGCTTTAATAATGCTCAGATTTTTCATGAGAATATGTTCTGTTATGTTTGTATAGAAAGTAAAACTTATTTGACTATCCAGTAAGGTTTCAATGTAAAACACACCTCTTCTAGGGCCACCATAATCTGTTATTTTGCGTCCTGCTGCTCCTCCTTTCTTCTTGAACACCTTCATTAGTTTGTTGGAGTATTGATCCACAGTATGTGCATGGAGACGAGTGTCTTTATCCATAATGATAATGCTTCAATTTGTAGTGTTTAAGCAACAGATACCTCGTAGATAACAGTCTCAGGGCACTCCTTGCACATCCACATTGAAAACCTGCAAAACAGAGACTGACATTAGAAATAGTTTCAGATTCATTAACTACATTTTTATTTAAAGTAGTAGTCCCTCTACAATTCACCTACACCATACTAATCATGTTTTTGTAGTAACTGCATTAAAGTCTTTCATTTGAATACAAAAAGGTATGCAAATTGAAGACAAACCAAAATAACAAGACCCTTTAATGGAAAATGAGCATGTCCCAATCACCATGGTTTGCCTCAGATCCTGATAAGATATTTAAACTTAAAATGTTTTTAATAATTTGTATTGTAAATTCTAAAAAGTATGGAACCTTTATGTTGCTCGCGTCGTCAAGTAGAATTAAATGAATACTGAAGTTACCACATCAAACACACCCAATTTAAATAATTCTTTAAACACAGGCAAAACCAATTACGATAACAAAAATATACAACCAATACATGTTTTGTTATATTTGTAGAGAAATCGGAAGCGAAAGTCTGTCCACTTAAATAGTCCGGGTGAAAAATGGACCGTTCCGGGTTACCGTGCACGCACTGACACTGATAATCATGTAACACGGAACGGCCCGCTTATCCGTAACACACAGCTCTTCACACCTTAGTTTATAACCTTGGCATAACCATCATTTCGAGTGAAAACGTAACAATACTGCGCACACGCCTTGTACTGATTGAATGCTAGCCAATTCAATATATTCAACAATATTTAAACAACAGCTTAACAGAATCCATGTCGAATATGAAAGTTCTGATCAATAATCATAACTATGACATGAACGTTACTTCGAACAACAGTTGAGGCGAGAAATACGACCCTTAAGGTCATTTTGGTGATTTATTTAGTGGCATAATGATAGGTTGGACTAGCGGGGAGCTCCGCATGTGGCAGAAGCTAGCGTTAGCTGTTAGCAGCTATCAGCTGCTGTGTTTGCAGCGCCATTATTGCGAAAGCATGGTCGGCAAGTCACTGTTCGACGCAACTGGAAAAAAGAGAAACTAACACTGTTTACCTTGAATGCCCAAGCTCAAATTATAATGTTGTGTTTAGTTATAAGTATATCAAACACCATTACCATGGAAAACCTCTGATAGTCTAGCAATGACTATGTTCCAAAATGAACGACAAAAGACACAACCACTATTGAAAATTACACCATACCGTTTCATGCTGTATAGTCAAAGAAGCGTCTTACTTACCAAAATGACGAGAATTTTCGACCACTCGAAGTTGTGTCTTTTCAAATGGCTCTCACTCTGTTCGCGGTCAGTGGCAAGCTCTCGGTTGCAAGGGTTGCCAGATGCGGCAAGATTTTCCTGCCCAAAACCCGCGAGAATCCCAACAAAAAAACACACAAAATGATATTTTTGCGATAAAAAGTTATGGAATCAACTTAGAATATCAGGATACTGTTTATGGCCGTTTTATCCATTAATTAACTACAAGATACATGGAACAAAAGTATGCGGGGAACCGCCCATCTGGCAACCTTGACAACTACGCATGTCTGCGTCATTGCGTCACAGCGTCATTGCGTACATGTTTTGTTTACGTGAAAGAGTTAGGTTGGTTTTAAACATATGTACTGTTTAGCTCTGAAATCTGTTGCTTTTGTGTTATACCAATGCAATATTGTTATGTTTTCTGTAGAAACATAAGAAACACATTAATTTCACTTTAACCATTTCACATAAAGTGCACAACATCACTCTTTCACTTCTTAGAGTGCATTGTGGCTCCTGGTGTATATGTGCACATTTACTAAATGAGTAAACCACACACTGACGGCTACAGCTCTGGATCTCGCTTTAGCTTATGGGCACAAAATGGCGTTCTTGGATGTTCTTATTAGGTATTAATACTAAAGCAAATCCTGGTCTCTGCGAAAAGTTCAAATACAAGAATAAACACATGATTAGCTTAAAAAAAACCTATGTTACCTCAACAGAAACACCTCACCGATGAACACTTTCATAACAGTGTTTGTTCCATTAGAGTATCTACAACTAGTACTCAAAAGAACAGAAAAATATCTGCTGATTGCTAAATTCATAGCTTTCTTTGACCTGGACCTTGTTCCACAGGCGGTGATTGAGACTCTGTCGGTTGGAGCTACGATGCTATTGCCGCCGCTCAGAGAGAGGATGGAGCTGCTCCACACACTGCTGCCACAGGGACCAGATCGCTGGGAGAGCCTCTCCAAGGGACAGGTACCAGAGAGGGACCAGAGAGAGAGAGACCAGAGAGAGAGAGACCAGAGAGGGGGAGACCAGGGAGAGGGACCAGGGAGAGGGACCAGGGAGAGGGACAAGGAAGAGGGACCAGGGAGAGGGACCAGGGAGAGGGACCAGGGAGAGGGACCAGGGAGAGGGACCAGGGAGAGGGACCAGGCAGAGGGACCAGGCAGAGGGACCAGGCAGAGGGACCAGGCAGAGGGACCAGGCAGAGGGACCAGGCAGAGGGACCAGGCAGAGGGACCAGGCAGAGGGACCAGGCAGAGGGACCAGGCAGAGGGACAAGGCAGAGGGACAAGGCAGAGGGACAAGGCAGAGGGACCAGGGAGAGGGACCAGGGAGAGGGACCAGGGTGAGGGACCATGGAGAGGGGGACAAGAGAGAGAGAGACAAGAGAGAGAGAGACAAGAGAGAGAGAGACAAGAGAGAGAGAGACAAGAGAGAGAGAGACAAGAGAGAGAGAGACAAGAGAGAGAGACCAGAGAGAGAGACCAGAGAGGGGGACCAGCCTGCACTCATTGAGAAAGCAATAGGCCCTATGCCCAGTTGGGGCTCGGGCCTAAATAATGAGGCCGTAATTCAGAGGTGTCCAAACCGGTCCATAAAGGGCCGCTGTGGCTGCAGGTTTTCTATCAGACCTAGCAGGAGCAGAGCAGACTTCACCCATTTCATCAAATCTTCAGGTTAAGACTGAACTCACTTGAGGAAATGGGCGGAGTCTGCACTGCACCGACTGAATCTGATAGAAAACCTGCAGCCACAGCGGCCTTTTCTGGACCGGTTTGTACACCTCGGCCATAATTCATATGTGCTGACAAAGAAGACATGGAACTTTGCGACTTTGTTTCTAGCTGCGTTTCCACCGCAGGAGTTCCTGGTAAAAGGAGCGGGGTGGAACTTTTACATGGCCAGGGGAGGACTGCTCTCCCTGGGTCCTCTCACTGGCCGTGTCTCCACTGCAGAGTAGGACCACTCGACGATGTCATGAGTTTCAATTGCCGCATAAGAAAAATTACGCCAAACCCATTTGTTTATTTTACGGTCGTAACCGCTCCTGTTGTTGTTGTCTTTGAGTTTTTTTATAGTTCTACTTCTGTATCCCCAGTGCTTCGAGGTGAATGTCTAAAAATATCTTTCCATTTTGCAGCGATGCCTCAAACCCCGTCCGAATCAATGCCGTGCTGTTTGCTTTTTCCAATGGTGTCTGCGAGGCTATTGCTGCAAGGCTAAGGCTGCTAGGCTAATGCTGCTGGAAATGCCGGTTGTTTTGGTGCTTTCTGCACGCGTCAGAGTCTGCGCTAGCAAATTTGGTCAACCTCAAGTCCCACCAGGGCCCAACGGAGTACCTAGCATAGGAGGGACTCTGTTTGGCCCCCGTAAAAGTTCCTGAAATGGCCCTGTGGGCGAAGTTCCTGCAGTGGAGACACACACTGACTGGGCTGGCCCTGGAAAATTACCCCGAAGTTCCTGCGATGGAAGCGGTTTGACACTTCCTATAGTTACCATAGTTACCAGGAGCAATGTCTCTGCTTCTCCACCACAGTGTGAAACTATAGGCTATTTGGAGCGTTGTACTCTGCCATATTAATCATGATCTGAGTGTATGTTATTTGAATGGCACAGAGGATGCAGCTGGACATCATCCTCACCAGCCTGCAGGACCACACCCACGTGGCCTCTCTCTTGGGGTACAGCTCTCCGGCTGACGGCCCGGAGGTGGTGTCGGCCTCTGGCTTCACTCAGACCCCAGACCCAGACCACAGCAGCCAGGGCAGCAGCCACCCGGACACCCACCTGGCAGAGATACTGATGAAGACTCTGCTCCGGAACCTCGGCTTCTACACTGTGAGTGCATCTGCCTCATTTCCTACTGTTCAAATTCTACTCTACTCTTTTCTCCTCTCCTTTACTCTCCTCTAGTCTACTCTGCCTGGTTGTGCTTTCCATTATCCTTTAGTATCTTGTACCGTATCCTAAAAACCTTCACTGTCGGTTAAAACACTTTAGTACTACCTCGCCCTGGATTGAACCTTAGGGAATAAAGAATGACCTGGTGGACTTCCGGTTCTGCTGGCGAGAGGAATGGCAACCTGATTTTGGAGCTCCTAACAGTTTCTTGGGGGAATACTCCCCATACTTTTGCAAAAGGACATTTTCATCAAAACTGACTGAGCTATATGGACATTTTCATCTCTTCATCTTCATCTTCATCCCTTGTGTGAGTCTTAATATAAGAATTGTTTAACGGCAAACATTAAAATCATCATGGACTTGACCCTATTAAAGCATCTTTTGCTTTTTTGTACATATATGCAGAATTGTAAATTTAGGTCTTTAATTTTCACTGTACATGTGTAAATATTTTCAATATAAGGCACCAGCCCCAAACGTAAATCTATTCGTCTGTCTGTATTACTACTCCACCTGCCTAGAGCTGAACCAATTAGACAAGTAAACACTTGTATTTGAACAGATACAGGAGACTTCTCATGTAGTTTAGCACACATTTAACTCACAGTTACAGATGCCAGAGCGCTGAGAAAACACCTCGGTTTGACTAATGCATCAACAAGTATTCATGACCAAATGTGATTCAGCTGCAATACATCCACAGTGATGTCATATGCAAATCCTTGTTAGAATGTGATTATTAAAAGGGAGGTACCTAACCTTTCTCCATAAATAAGACATTTTTTTCGGCCCAATAAACAGAAACAGATCCCTGTGAGTGACAATTTGACTCTTTCAGCTGATTGGCTGAGTTTGGGTCCTCTCTTGCATGTGAAAACTAGTGAAAACCAGTCTCTGGTCTCTCCTTGGTGTCTCTCTCTAAACTCTCTCTGGTCTCTCTCGATGGTGTCTCTTTCAGTCTCTGTCTAAAATAGCTGATTTAAACATGTGAAAGGGGCCGAATATATATGATGTGAAAACTAGTGATTGAAGCAAACTGTTTTAGAGCCAGGAACTAGAGACATATATTTCATGTGCGTGTCTCTCTATTTGTGTCTGCTTATAGGACCAGGCATTTGGAGAGCTGGAGAAGAACAGCGATAAACTCCTCCAGGGAATGTCATCGTCTGACAGCAGCCAGCCCGCTCACCTGCACCAGCTCCTCTGCTCCTTACAGAAGCAGCTGCTGGCCTACTGCCACATCAATGCAGTCACAGAGGCAAGATTATCAGTATTGCACAGTTCAGACACAAGGCAACACAAAGTGCTTAACAAAAGAGAAGAAGTGAAGGAACAATTACATAAATCATAAATATTCACAGGGCATTAAAAGAAGACATACAAGCCTCAAACGTGAGACAGAATTATTATTATTATTATTATGTGTTTATTAGATAGGGACAGAACAAGAAGCATTGTTACATGAACCGATGTTGTGTTCAGAGGCCGTATAGCTAACAGCTAGTTAGCTGCAGACCTGGTCCCTTATTTGTGTGGGTTCTTTTTCTCACACAATGGCCTAGGGCATAAAGGGCTGTTTTTTTCTGCAGTAGGGACAAGATCCTTGACAGTGACATCAGAGGATCAAGTTGAACTTTTTTTATTGATCAAATACTTCTAAGGTCTGCTCCATACATTGTTTATTTTGTCAAGTTTGCATGTTCTCCCCGTGGTGCGTAGGTTTCCTCCAGGCCTTACGTTTTCCCCTCATATCTATAATGTGTGTTTTCAGAACTCTAGCAGCGTTGCTCTGCTCCACAAACACCTGCAGCTGCTGATGCCTCACGCCACAGACATTTTCTCCCGATCGGCCACTCTGATCAAAGAGAGCTCCTGGAACGGGAGCATCCGGGAGAAACTGCAAGGTGAACATACTGTAGTTCTGCTCTCCTCAGGTCCATCCTGCTCCACCCCAATTTTTACAGACACACACCAATATTGTCACCGCTAACGAAAAACATCTGTGTAAATGATCTGTCTCTCCTGCTCAGATGTGGTCTTCGTGTCGGCCGCCGGCAGCATGTTGTGCCAAATCATCAACTCTCTGCTGCTGCTGCCGGTGTGTGTGGCCAAACCCCTACTGTCCCACCTTCTGGACCTCCTCCCTCCTCTAGACCTCCTGAACAGGCTGCTCCCGGCTGCGTCTCCCCTCGAAGACCAGGAGCTGCAGTGGCCTCTGCACGGTAACACCACTGTCCACCAATGCTCCCCTTTCCACTGGTTAAAGCTGGGGGTAGTTTTTTTGAAAGACCAGAGAGAGACTTCATTTCATGTATTTTTGTCCTTTGTTACTCTTTAGAATAGCCTTTTCAGACAGAAAAGTGAAACAGTGAGGACCACCTCCACGCCACCTCAGAGCTCATTACATTAAAAATCAATTTTCTGTATTGTTTCTGCCTCTTCCCTCCAGGCACGACAGACTTTGCAGAGCCAGCCTCAGGCATGTCTCAGGCTGCCTTGTCCTGGGTTTGGCTGGTAGACCTGGAACGCACTGTGGCCCTGCTCGTAGGCCGATGTCTGGGGGGGATGCTGCAGGGAGCTCCCACGTCTCTGGAGGAACAGGACACGGCCTACTGGCTCAAAACTCCCATCTTTAGCAACGGCCTCCAGATGGACATACCACAACTAGGTGAGTATTGTATTTCAGTATTTCTGCAGGAGTCACTGTAAGTCTGTGAGAAAGAAGATGTTTGTGAAAGAAATGTGACAAAAGAAAATGTCCAGATGTCCAGTCAGTATTTGAGAGTGATTAGATTTACAAAACTGCTATAGAGGAGAGGAGGGAGGAGAGGGGGCAGAGAGGAGAGGAGAGAGGGGAGAGAAAATAGCAAAAGAGAGAGGAAAGGACAAGGAGAGAGAGGGCATAGTAGAGGAGAGAGAAGAGCGGGGAGGAGAGAGGAGAGAACAAGAGGCTCCATCCGCTCCATGTGTATACTGTCACTGGACCTTAAAGCGGTCAGACTGGTTTTGAAATAATGCCAAATAGAGTTTTGTCGCATACTCTATATTCCTAATTTTTATAAATGTTTTCGGAAATACATTTCCTTCCTTATGTTTGTGTTCTTCCGCCAGACTCTTGCATCAGCTCCCTGTTGGATGTGGCTCTCTCTGGGAACGAGGAGCACAAGCCCTTTGAGTTCCCCTTAAGCCCAGACCTAAGTGTCCTAGTGGAACTGGCCCTGGGATCCTCCAAAGAACCAGCCAACTCTCTGTGGATCAACATGCAGGACTTCGCCATCACTAAAGGTCCCTCATCCCATCCAGCCCCTGTCACAAGGGCAGCACCATCAAACGCAAAAGCAAATCGCAAAGACTGCACTCTCTGGTCTCCCTTTCTAGTCTCCCACTTCTAGTCCCTGGTCTCTCTGTCTGGTCTCTCTGTCTGGTCTCTCTGTCTGGTCTCTCTCCCTCTGGTTTTTGTCTGGTCTCTCTCCCTCTGGTTTTTCTCTAGTCTCTCTCTCTCTCTGATCTCTCTCTTTGGTCTCTGATCTCACTGGTGTCCCCAATGGCTTCCTGATATTAAGATTAAGATTAAGAACATTGTAGGTCAGAAACATCTAGGGTTGCAGAGATTAACCGGTTTTACGATAATTGCAATTATACACTCACCGGCCACTTTATTAGGTACACCGAGTTGAACCCCCTTTTGCCTTCAAAACTGTCTTAATCCATCATGGCATAAATTCAACAAGGTACTGGATAGGGATGTAAATCATGGTCAGTCATGAATTTTCATGACCGACCACCGAGCCTCATTAACCGGTTGAAACCGGTTAACCGCGTAGTTTAAAATATTCCACGTTCTCTGAAATAACAGCCATTTTGAGCCGCGTACTTTTCATAAGTGCAGCTGAGCGTTCTACTGGATCAGAGCCGAGACAGCGGCCCGCAACAGCTACGGCACCTTTGCGCACAGAGAACTGCTGGTTTAATCTTCCCATTCTTCTGTGCTGCGGGTAAAAGCCTTTTAGCAGCAAACAGCTCGTCCACATGGTCAGAGCAGCGAGTGACGAGCCGCGTCTCGCAGGTCCCTGCTAAAGTTTAAATACAAGTGATGTGTGTGGAGCTGATCTGATGACAAGGACCATCAGCACAAACATGTTCCATGTGATTTGACTGAAGATACGTATTTGCGAGGATCCTTTGGGCTCCGTGACACAGAGGAGCGCGACAGACCGGTATGTGTGTACATCACAGTGTGCATGTATGTGTGTGTAAATGTAAGCTCCAATGTAGTTCAGTGTGCAACTCGGGCAGTAACAGAGGGGCGAGATGATGCATGTGGATGTTACGTATCAATGGAGGGTAGGAAAGTGTGCGTGCATATGTGGCGAGGGCGGCATGAAAGTTGGCCCTGAGTTTACTAATACATAGGCGCACACAGCTAGAGATGGACCCGCTCGTCACACAGTGCAAATAGGGCTTAAAATAGCGTTTTTAAGAGACCTCCCCTCTCCTCCTTTTCTTTTTTTTTACCGACAGCTTTGACCGGTTAACGCTGTGACGGTCAACCACCGGTTAAACGGTCACCAATTTACATCCCTAGTACTGGACACATTCTTCAGACAGTTTGGTCCATATTTGTTAGCAACATGCAGTTTCTGCAGATTTCTGCACATCCATGATGCGAATCTCCTGTTCCACCACATCCCAAAGTTGCTCTATTGGATTAAGATCTTGTGACTGTGGAGGCCATTACTGTACAATTAACTTCACAGAAATCCGTCTGTGATTATTTGAGCTTCATTGGCAACAATGCTCAATTGATACTAAGGGACTCAAAGAGTGCCAAGAAAATACACATCATTACACCACCACCAGCAGCCTGAACCATTGATACAAGGCAGGATGGATCCATACTTTCATGTTGTTGACTCCAAATTCTCACCCTACCATCCGAATGTCGCAGCAGAAATCGAGACTCATCAGACCAGGCAACTTTTTACAATCTTCTATTGTCCAATTTTGGTGAGCCTTTGCAAATTGTAGCCTCAGTTTCCTGTTTATAGCTGACAGGAGTGGCACCGGGTGTGGTCTTCTGCTGCCTTGGTTGTAACGCGTGGTTATTTGAGTTACTGTTGTCTTTCTACCAGCTCGAACCAGTCTGGTCATTCACCTCTGACCTCTGGCATTTTTGCCCACCAAACTGCCACCCACTGGATAATTTCACTTTTTCGGAGCATTCTCTGTAAACCCTAGAGATGGTTGTAGGTGAAAATCCCAGTAGATCAGAAGTTTCTGAAATACTCAGACCAGCTCATCTGGCACCAGCGACCATGCCACGTTCAAAGTCACTTAAATCACCTTTCTTCCCCATTCTGATGCTTGGTTTGAACTGCAGCAGATCGTCTTGACCATGTCTACATGCCTTAAAGGGCCCATATTACGCTTTTTGACTTTTCTCTGCATTAAACATGATTACAGTGCTATTTGGCCATCATACACATGCCCAGAGTAGTTTTTTCATTAATTCTGTGAATCTTTAGTAAGAGAGCAATCGGTCTCCTTCAGCCTCGAGAGGCACGTTGGCTTTGTATTTAAGGGTGTATTCAGACCTGCACATTTGCTCCACTTTAAACGGACCAGGTATTGTTTGGAACTCTGATCCGAAGCTTTTATGCAGGTCTGAATACACACAAACAAATCCTGGTCCGGACCAAAGAACCGAACCGAGACCCACTTTTTCACTGGAGTGAGGAGACGCTGTGCAACAGGCTTATGGAGTTAAAACTGTTCACAGTATACATTGACGTTAATGGCAGCATCTTCAAATCATTTGCATCATTAAAAGCCTGACACTGTTTGACTCACGTCTCAAAGAGCAATATTCCGCATCATGTAGTGAATTGTGTTCTTTGGTTCCTACCTGATCCTCAGCGTCTGTTTGTCCCGTGGTTATTATCTATCCATGGTTTATCCACAATGCTGAACAGGGCCGTTATTATCATAGATCCATGTGTGGGACAGGGCACGGAGCGCACAGACAGTCTCCTTCGGTTTTCTCCTCACACATTCTCCGACACTGTTCCAATATTTAAAACAACGTGTTTCGCCTGTGTCATATGAGCTGCTGCTGTTGATGTTGAAGGTGGTTTTGCTCTAGAAAGAACAAACATGCTGCACATACGAGCCCTCAATGTTTTCTGCCGGTTCCGCGTCTATCCTCCGTGAGCTCTCGCTGTCCAATAGGAGCGCCGATCGTCACACGTGTCCATATGTTTATATAAAAAGGTCTGAATACGAACCGGAGCAAAAGAAAAAAAGTTTGGTCCGCTTTTGATTCAGATCAAGCAAGCGAGCAAAGGACTTTTCAGGTCTGAATACACCCTAAAATACATAATGCTCGATGTGACGGATTGTCATTGTTGGAAAAAGTTTATTCGTTTGTCTGAAATGACTAAGTACCGGTGATAAACAACGCAGAGCGTGATGCTACGTCACCGTGCGGGCGGGGGAGGTGGGCTCACGGACAGAGGAGGAGACTGATCTCTGGATCAGCCTGTTTGAGTTGAGGTGACCTCACCTTTATACAAGAGATGGCACTAATCTCACAAGTTTGAGTGTTGTATGGTGTATCACACACATTATTATCACACATGTGTATAGGATTGACTGTGAAACATGAAGAAAAGCGTAATATAGGACCTTTAATGCATTGAGTTGCTGCCATGTGATTGGCTGATTAGGAATTTGCATTAAAGTGGAGTTGAATAGGCGTAACTAATAAAGTGGCCGGTGAGTTTAAAAGCCTGCGTAGATTTACCGTAAGGATTATAGATGGCAAGGTTTTACTGCTGGTACTGAAAACATTTGCATGAAGTGCAATGTTTAGTACGGGCTGCTGCACACACGGAGCAGCTTAGACTCACCGGAAAATTAAAGATGGCAGGACAAGCTCCCCCAGAGTTTTGGGATCACCGTGTGGGATCACTTCGGGTATACAAAAGATGAGCAAGGTGTTGTTGCAGCGGATGGAATTCCAACGTGCAACGAAAGGAAAAAAACTATATTTTCTGTGAACTCGTGGCAACCCTTGACACATCACAATTGAATATTTTCCTTTCACCTCCTTTTCCAACACCCTCATTTTCTGATGCCTGTGGTACTTTACAGACTGGGACAACGCCTCTCTGAGCAACGAGACCCTCCTGGACACAGTCTCCAGATTTGTTCTGGCGGCGCTCCTGAAGCACACTGGACTTTTAACACAAGCTCGAGGAGAGGGAAGGTACTGAACTACACATATCACAAGCTTTGAATCTTTTGAAAATCTGTGTATTTAGTAGTTGCTCTTTATCTAAAACCACTTTAGTATAAAACCACTAACACAGTTGGCCCAGGAGTATGGAATTGGGAGTAAATGCTTCCTCAAATTTACAAAAAAAAAAAAAATCAACATCCAAACAATAAATCTAGGTCTACATGACTCAATTGCGGATTTAATAAATATTCCGCCAAAAAAACTGAACACCAAAATATACATAATAATCACAAAATCAGACAATACGCAATCACTACCAACCACAAAGTGGCAACAAGATTTAGCTTTTACTCACAATGTCAACTTCTGGACCCAAATCTGTAAAAATATGTACACAATGACCACCAACTCCAATCTCCATCTCATACAATTCAAAATCCTGATAAGATATCGCTACACATTGGTTACAAATTGTCAAAAATGGGATCCACTTCAGACAGCTGATCACACTGCACACAGGGTTGTAGGGACATTTACATTCTGGAAAGCCGTCACTCAGTCACTCACTACTTCACTTGGCTGCCACATCCAAAAGGACAACTCACCCTCAAATCCACTTTTTTTGCTGATAAACGGTATAAATGAGTGTCCAATAGTGTTGTGTACATATCCTGGTCATAATTTTGTCACTTTAGTGCAAATTAGTTGAAAGATCAACTTTCTGCCTAAAACCGTCAGTGAGGCGCCATCTGAGGAAGGTGGAGAGAAGTCCTCCACCTTCCTAGACCGCACAGAAGCTATAGAGCTGTGATCACTCTCCATCTTTGTCACAGCCAATGCTGATGTCAAGTGTCAATCACAGCTTAGACCCGCCCAACATTCACCCCCCCGCCAGTCCTCTTTAGTCCTCCAGGCTACGCCCATTTGGAGGGAGATTTGAAAAGAGAATGTGAGTGACGTAAGTCTCGAGGAGGGGGGGTGAAAAGTCCTTTAAGTATGCAAAATAAAATACAAGACGCCTGTCGTGGTGTGTTCTGTTTGATTTGTTCACAACATTTTACTATTGTGCACAACCAACATGCATTTTTAATTTAAGGGGAGATTTAGGTACCTGAGCTTTAATTTCGTGAGTTGTGGTTGCGTATAGGTAGGAGACAAGCTGGGGATGGTCCTGAACGCGTGTCTATGGTTCTGTCTGCACGTCCTGTCCGCGCGTCTGGTCCTGTCCGCGTGTCTATGGTCCGCGTGTCTATGGTCCTGTCAGCGTGTCTATGGTCCACGTTTTCTATGGTCCTGTCCGCGTGTCTATGGTCCGCGCTCGGTACCACGTTACCTGTGCGTTCACTGAGCTGTCAAAGCGGCTGTCATTACAAAGCGGCCGCAGCTGCTCCCGGGGTCAGAGCGGAGGATGCAAATTCCGGTCGAGTCCGTACAGCAAACAACAGAAAGTTCCCACGGTAATGACATTTGCAGCAGAAAAAAGTCGGGAATTGTGGATCCGTGAAACATTTTGAAGAGAATTGGTCAAAAAAAGACCAGAGGAAGAATTGCGGGAATGTGTTCGCGGCCTGTATGGGTTAAAGTGATACATCATATATATATATATATACAGTGCATCCGGAAAGTATTCACAGCGCTTCACTTTTTCCACATTTTGTTATGTTATAGCCTTATTCCAAAATTGATTTAATTGATTTTTTTTCCTCACAATTCTACACAGAACACCCCATAATTTATTAAAAATAAAAATAACGAAGAAACCACATGTACATAAGTATTCACAACCTTTATTTAATACTTTGTTGATGCACTTTTGGCAGCAATTACAGCCTCAAGTTTTTTTGAATATGATGCCGCAAGCTTGGCACACCTGTCTTTGGGCAGTTTTGCCCATTCCTCTTTGCAGCACCTCTCAAGCTCCATCAAGTTGGATGGGGAGTGTCGGTGCACAGCCATTGTCAGATCTCTCCAGAGATGTTCAATTGGATTCAAGTCTGGGCTCTGGCTAGGCCACTCAAGGACATTCACTGAGTTGTCCTGAAGCCACTTCTTTGTTATCTTGCTTAGGGTCGTTGTCCTGCTGAAAGATGAAAGTCGCCCCAGTCTAAGGTCAAGAGCGCTCTGGAGCAGGTTTTCATCCAGGATGTCTCTGGACATTGCTGCATTCATCTTTCTCTCTATCTTGACTAGTCTCCCAGTTCCTGCCGCTGAAAAACATCCCCACAGCATGATGCTACCACAACCAGACTTCACTGTAGGGATGGTATTGGCTTGGTGATGAGCAGTGCCTGGTTTCCTCCATGACGCCTGGCATTCACGCCAAAGAGTTCAATCTTTGTCTCATCAGACCAGAGAATTTTTTTACTCATGGTCTGAGAGTCCTTCAGGTGCCTTTCATCTGGACACTCTACCATACAGGCCTGATTTGTGGATTTCTGCAGAGATGGTTGTCCTTCTGGAAGGTTCTCTCTCCACAGAGGAACGCTGGAGCTCTGACAAAGTGACCATCAGGTACTTAGTCACCTCCCTGACTAAGGCCCTTCTCCCCTGATCGCTCAGTTTAGATGGCCGGCCAGCTCTAGGAAGAGTCCTCGTGGTCCACTCCCCCGTCCACCATCTTCCCCTGCAGCAGTGCCGGTCTGATGGTATTGAAAGCACTGGAGAAGTCAAAAAACATGACCCTCACAGCGTTCCTGGCGGGCTCAAAGTGGGAGAGCGTCCACTGCAGTAAGTAGATGACGGCATCCTCTACTCCGATGTTGGGCCTGTAGGCGAACTGCAGCGGGTCCAGGGTGGGGCTGACCACAGAGCAGAGATGGGTGAGGATGAGCAGTTCCATGGTCTTCGTCAGGTGGGAGGTCAGTGCGACTGGTCTTTAGTGAGCCGGTTCCTTGGCGTGCGCTATTTTAGGAACCGGGATCACACAGGAGGTCTTCCACAGGACAGGGACCTTCTCCAGGCTGAAGCTCAGGTTGTAGATGTAGCTGAGGACCTCAGAGAGCTGGTCTGCACAGGTCCTCAGCAGCCTGGGACTGATCCCGTCCGGTCCTGCGGATTTCCTCTGCTTCATTCGCTGTAGCTGAGTCTTCACCTGGTCCGGTGTGATGGAGAGAGGGGGAGACTGGGGTGTACTGTCAGAGGTGGGGGCTGGGGATGTGGCGGCAGGAGGGCCCGGGGCAGCCGAAGGCTGGGGACATGTGAAGAGGTGGGGGTGGGAGGTGGGGCAGATGGAGAGGGGAATACACACTAATGCATTATTCATAATAACCTTACACAAACTTTCATTCCATTCGTCTAGAGTTCCATTATCATTTATTTCTCTGCACTGATTGTCACACAGCCTGTATAACCTTCCCAAATCTGCCCTTCTGTAATTCAAATACTGTGGGTATTCCCCATCCCTGGTAACCTATTCCCTTCCAAACTTTAGAATTATTGGGTAGTGGTCACTCCCCACATTCCACTGATTCAGTACGTTGCACTCTCCCACTCTTGCTAACTCACTGGACACAAGTGCTAAGTCAATACAATACCCTGACCCCGTCAGTACCTTGCAAAAGTATTCACCCCCTTGGCTTGTTACATTACAGCCTTTAGTTTAATGTTTTTTTAATCTGAATTTCATGTGATGGATCAGAAAACAATAGTCTAAGTTGGTGAAGTGAATTGAGAAAAATACAGTGGGGCAAAAAAGTATTTAGTCAGCCACCGATTGTGCAAGTTCTCCCACTTAAAATTATGACAGAGGTCTGAAATTTTCATCATAGGTACACTTCAACTGTGAGAGACAGAATGTGAAAACAAAAATCCAGGAATTCACATTGTAGGATTTTTAAAGAATTTATTTGTAAATTATGGTGGAAAATAGGTATTTGGTCAAAAACAAAAAATCAACTCAATACTTTGTAATATAACCTTTGTTGGCAATAACAGAGGTCAAACGATTACTATAGGTCTTTACCAGGTTTTCACACACAGTAGCTGGTATTTTGGTCCATTCCTCCATGCAGATCTTCTCGAGAGCAGTGAACACAGACTTTCAACTCCCTCCACAGATTTTCAATGGGGATGAGGTCTGGAGACTGGCTAGGCCACTCCAGGACTTTCAAATGCTTCTTACGGAGCCACCCCTTCGTTGCCCAGGGGGTGTGTTTGGGATCATTGTCATGCTGGAAGAGCCAGCCACGTTTCATCTTTAAAGCTCTCACTGATGGAAGGAGGTTTTGGCTCAAAATCTCACAATACATGGCCCCATTCATTCTTTTCTTAACACGGATCATTCGGTCTGTCCCCTTAGCAGAAAAACAGCCTTAAAGCATGACGTTTCCACCCCCATGCTTCACAGTAGGTATGGTGTTCTTGGGATGCAACTCAGTATTCTTCTTCCTCCAAACACGACGAGTTGGATTTATACCAAACAGTTCTACTTTGGTTTCATCTGACCACATGACATTCTCCCAATCCTCTGCTGTATCATCCATGTGCTCTCTGGCAAACTTCAGACGGGCCTGGACATGCACTGGCTTCAGCAGGGGGACACGTCTGGCACTGCAGGATTTGATTTCTGGTGCAGGTATACAATTCTTTTCCTGGTGTCCTTCGACAGCTCTTTGGTCTTGGCCATAGTGGAGTTTGGAGTCTGACTGTTTGAGGCTGTGGACAGGTGTCTTTTATACAGATGAGTTCAAACAGGTGCCATTAATACAGGTAACGAGTGGAGGACATAAGAGCTTCTTAAAGAAGTTAGTCGTCTGTGAGAGCCGGAGATCTTCCTTGTTTGATGTGACCAAATACTTATTTTCCACCATAATTTACAAATAAATTCTTTAAAAATCCTACAATGTGAATTCCTGGATTTTTTTTTTCACATTCTGTCTCTCACATTTGAAGTGTACCTATGATTAAAATTACAGACCTCTGTCATTATTTTAAGTGGGAGATCTTGCACAATCGGTGGCTGTTTTTGCCCCACTGTTTATACATAAAACTATTTTTCAGAAATAAAAAAATGTAAATTGGCATGTGCA